CCGTGTCCTGGGCCTAGACTTAACTGGATTTGGGCTCATCAAAATGTAGTGTCCATTTCTAAGAGTACAAAATATAATTTTTGGTTCATTGTACATATAGATTGCAGTGTTTCTATATGTGTGATCATTGTAACTTGAGAGGGAGGTGTTAAAGAACCCACAATCACCACAGTGGAGATGAATCTGTCTTAAGGATATAATGTCAAACACTAATTTTGATCAAATTCTTAAATTGTTCCAATATGCAATTGGATCAATTTTATGTGTTACTGTTTTACTCTTAATTGCACGATTTAAATCAAAAATATAAATAAGTATTTTGCATACATGACACATCCTCCCAACAGAAAAAAGGAAAATGCTTCCCATTTATGTTAAAAGAAACAACTAAAGTGTGGATGCCCTCATAAATGTTTAGAGTCCATTAATTCGTTGAAAAGGTTAGCAAGATTGAGTGTCATGTCCCAAACAAGTTCAAATGTAGAGTAAAAGTACATCAATAAGCCCACTAACCCGCATTTCTTGATTTGGGGAGTCATTCATCACTTTAGCTAATGCAGGAAGCATGAGGTGACATCCGGGTTGTAAGCATCTGCCAGAAGTCAGAACCAAAGCCCACATTGCACGAATAGATTCATTTTGCATGACAGGGTCAACATTTTGAAATAAGCTCAAAAGTGTCAACATTACTTGTTCGAAATTTGTTTTCATCACCTGTGTCCACAAAATGAAAAATAAAAAAATGTATCAGAAAAATCTCTAAACCAATGATATTTGACAATCAATCGATCATATTCAATTCTCAGCATTAGACTAAAACTAGTGAGCAGCCCTTGTCATGCATGGATTTTTTATTTCTTCTTTCCATCCTCTTACCATCAAATCCTCCCCAGCTCTAATCAGGGACAGAACAGTGGCCCCTCCTCAAATTCTAAAAATTACCATTGTTCCCCCTATATTTTCAAAAAAAATATTGGTGACCTCCAGCTTTTCAAAACACCCAATGTTTAAGTGTCTCACTTAATGTATTCAAAAAAATCAATGAATTTAGTAACAATTTAAGATGTAATCACATGAATGAGTATCGTTTGCACTAACAAAGATACTTGTTGGATAATTTTGATGACCTTGGAGAAAAAAATAAGTGATTTTTTTGCGACCATGTCGAGCTATTTTTCCGTAGAACCTCCCTTACAGTTTCGTCACCGCATAAGAGTTTAACCACCAAGTTAGGGATGGATTGGTGTGGTCTTCTGCGTGACAACTGTGCCAAAGCCTCATCATTGATCAAGAAATCTCCTTTGGCTAATTCCCATGAACAGATAAGGTCAGAGAACAACATAATTTATTTATAGACATAAAATTAGATCATAAACAAGAAAAATTGGGGATGAAAATATTGTCACAACTGAATTTTTATGATGTCATTATCCAATTTTTGAGTTTTGTGCTCAAAATTAATTTTTTCAATGACATTACATAAAAATTAAATTTAATAGGTTCTTTATAAATAAAAATTTATCATCTATGTCATTGTTGGGCCCCTCAAAATAAAATTTTGGTTCACTCTAACATTACTAGACAAATACCTATTAATGTGTTAAAATGGAATTCATCTATATCTATACTACTAATAAAAAACAGCTACTGAGAAAAAAATTTAATTACCTGTTTTAACCCTAATCACTTACATATGGTCCATTTTATCCCATTTTCTCTTTCAAGTATCATCTTTTCTTATTCTATTTTTATTCACATTTTATGGGTATTTAATGGTATTTGCGTTTAACAACTTTCTTTCTTTAATGAAGGTATAACTGCAGTTTTTTGTGGGTTCCTAAGAGTCTCTCCGTTTAACGACTTCTCTTCTTCCATCTTTCATGGAAAATAATTGTGGTAGTTTGGGGTTCTTTAGCAGTCTCTCCATTTAATAATGGATTTAGAATTTTGAAGGAGTATTAATAGACTGAGTACGGAAGTCATGGGTCTCAGTTGAAAAACCTTCACCTGATACACTTCCCCACACCGAACTCTCTGCTGATTCCAAGTTCAATTTTAGAGCCCATAAAGAATCAACTGATCACCTACAGACACCCATTTGACATATTTCGTAAAGCATTGGAAGTTAAATTGTTGGAAGAGTTTTTTTTTTTTTTGATCAAAAAGTAAACTGTGATTTCATTTAAGTAGGAAAGTGATGATTATAGTCATTAGAAAGAAAAACCTTGAGCTTGTTAGGGGGACAGCTGGCCCAATTCACAGCAAGCGAACTAGACAATGCCGCTGTTGGAAGAGTTGGAAAAGGATAAGCTACGGGTGGAGTTTGGCGAGAGCCGTTCGATTGGGGTCGGGGTTCTAAGTATGGCTTTTCAAGGAGGATAGTTTGAGTTAGCTTGCAGAATGTATATACTTTCTATAGACACACACACACACACACACACACACACATATACTTACATACTGTTTAAAGTGTAAGAGTAGCCAAATTTGTTCAGAAAACTCTTGTTTTGTAGTTAATTGTTAAGAACAAGATTATGCATGCTTCTTGTTGCCCTTATATTGTACCCAATGAATTCGTTCTCTTAAGTGTTAATTTCTGTGATGTATTCCTTCTAACTTCATATTTGCACTTTATTTTACAGATACTAACCACTACAGTTGTTACTTTCACTACATGGGTATTACTTAAACACATGATAGGTGATCCATAAACAAAAATAATATTAGAGGAGATCTCACTCTGCGCTTGGCAGACAATCGTGCTAATTTTTAGCATTAGTTCCTTACATATTTTGATGTGTACTTTTAATCATGGGTTAGGAGCAAGAACACATTATGCTTCTTCTGCATTTTAGACCTCAATGTAGAAACTTGGGACATCTAGGACTATCTTGTTTATCGATTGGGGTTGTTTCGAGCCTTAAATTTTTTTTTTTTTTTTTTTGAAATGGTTTATTTTATCAACACAAAATAGAATAAAAATGTATATTGACACTATTTTTTTATGATAATGTTGTTTGATGGTAAACAAACTAATGTTTTTGTGTCCTCAACCCAATGAAATCCGAGTGGTCTGCACCTTTTCAAATATATTGAATATTTTTACATCTATAAATCATTATTTATTCATATTAATTTTTTGCGTCATGATAATCATATAATTATATTTGGTCAAACCTCCACTACACGCATAAACTATTAATTAATATATATGGGATATAATCTTATGTTTTTTAAATAGTTGTAGCATGGATAAAAAATAAAATTAAACATTATAATTTATAATAGTTCACGTGTAAGAAACTTTGATGACATAAATATGCCTTAATTTATCTCTCTCTCTCTCTCTCTCTATATATATATATATATTTAAGCTAATATATTATCATTTGACATACAATAAAAATATAAAATAAAGACTTGTAAATGTCAAGATTAAAAAAAATTAACCATTTTATTATCCTAAAGAAAGACATTAAGCCAGCACTGTCTTTCTAAATTAAAATGTGAATTATTTTTTTAATTTTTCTAGATTTATTTTTTTTATAGTTTTTAAAAATTATATAGCATTTTATTAATGATACCAATATAAATTTAAAATATCTATCCTTACACAGTTAAATATCTAAATTACTATCATATCTTTATGTATTTTAATCTTCAAATTACCTTTAACATATCTCTATCCTCTTTTAATTATCTATTCTCTATGTATAAATATTAGTTTTTATGAAACTTTTTGTTGACTATATTATTCTTAAAAAATATATGAATTATTATAATTTTCAATAAAAATTTTAAAATACTTTTAAAAACTCTATCAATTTAACATTACTCATCTCATATGTATAGATAACAATATGCCTACATATATGTATTTTCATTAAAAAGTTTAATCCTTTAAGTATTAAGATAATATATATAATTTTTTAAAATCAATTTACGTTACATCAACGTAAGTCTTCAGTCATTGTAAACTTTGAAAGTTGTATTAATATTTGATGTGAAAATAGATTATAGTGTATTTTTAAGTAAAACTTGAATTGTTTAGAATTTTAATATGCTTTATAATATATGCTATAAAGTAGTATATTAAATATTGTCTCAATTGACCTAATTAATTATTAATTATAGTAAGGTTCCAATATGATTAGTATATTCATAATTAATTTTATTTTATCCAATGAATAATAGATGGAATTTTAATCAAATGAATTTAAAAAAACTTAATTTTTTAAACATCACTAATAAATCAATCTCAATCACAAAATTCGAGAAAAAATAAAAATTTAATCATTTTTTAAATCCATTTTCTTATAGGTAGAGTAGCGAACCTTAAGAACATACAAATTTATCATAATTCTATAATAAAGTATGAGTGAAAAAAAATAATTTTGACAAACTTTATTTAATATTTAATCAAGTAAACATGTACATAATATTTTTTATTAATTTTTATATATAAAAAATATGCACGTGCCATGCGAATGGTGCATTATTAATTAAAACAAAAGGAAAATGCTTCTCTTTTCTGTTAAAAGAAAACAAATAAAATTTGAACGCACTTATAAAGTACATAAATAAGTCTACTAACCTCGTCATGCAAGCAAAAGCGTAATAAATGCAGAGCTAACGACTGAATTGCTCCAATAGCTGTACGCCACACGCGACGGTGGTCATTTGGAAATGGGCTCAAAACCATTGGCACTACTTTTTTCAAATTTTCTATCGTCACCTGTGTCCATAAAATGAAAAAAATATAAATATATAAACAAAAAATCTTTAAAACATACCTTAGCATTAAACTAAAACTAACTCGCACCCCGTGCCATTCGCCAAATTTGTTTTCTTCTTTTTTATCGTTACCATATCACCAAATCCTCCCTAACCTTGATATTATTGAACAATTACTTTAATGTGATAAAATGATATTTATTTAAATTTTAAATAATTAAATGTAAAAAAATAAATAAATAAATAAAAAGCAAAGCTCTGATACCTCACGGCGGCCTCTCTCTATACTCCTTCTGAGCACAATGAATGCCGCCCGCATGCTCCTTTTGCCACTCAGGAGCAACCAAATACCCCGGTAACACTTCCAAAGCAACAGTCAAAATACCATTCTCAATCATATGCGACAAAATCGACAGCCTATCCACACACCCCTGCCAAGACCCATAGTTATCCGTCTCCTTATTATCGTCCCACAGCTCCTCCATATTAATTTCAAACTCCGTCCCAAGTTTCAGCTGCCTGAGATTCGTTTTCTCAGCCTCGGCCAATGTCAAAACGAACTGGACCAATGGCCAAACGCCTCGTCTCTTTCTTCAAACTATGATCATCGGCCATCAGCCATATTGTATTCACCATCTCCCCAATTTGTTTCCTCCAATACGTCAGCTTCATTCCTGCCAAATCTATCAATAACTTCAACGTGTTAACAGCGTCGGCCATCGTCTCATTCCCACTACACAACGCATTCTTCAACGTAGATATCATCGCTGCCAACAAATCCTGAAAATTGACCAAATCTTTTTGTTCTAAACACATAATGAAATTAATCGCGGCCCCAAACGCTGCAATACGCACATCCTCCTCTGTCGTTGTTTTCCAACACTCCAGTAAAATTGAATGAATGCAACCTCTTATCCAAATGCAACTTATTCAGTCCCTTCCCTAGATACTGTGCTAAATAAGCAACAATTAACAACGCACTCTTTTTTATCGGATTCTACAAGTTCAAATAAAAAGGATAAGAATTCGGGCCATTCTTGTTTAGATAAAAGAGAAGCTGCAAGCGCTGATACGGTGTGGCAGAGTTCTTTATTGATTAGTCTTGCAGGTGTGTCAACTAATTTCAAGAGATCGCGTTTTAGAGTCAATTGCATTTCAACAGGAAAAGAGTGAAAGGGGTAAGATTTATTGAAGAGTGACTTGCGAAGGAGACTGGCGGAAATGGTACGTGAGTTAAGATCTGGGTTGGAGGAGAGCACGTCACAAAGCTTGTTAGCGAAGAGATGTGGCTTGGTTTTATATGTGCAGATTTCGAAAATCCACTTGGCGTCGCAGCGTGTGTCGTTGAAATCGGACATAAAGTCCGCGATTAGCTCTTTCAACTCGTCGGTTTTTTCGGATTCGCAGATGGCTTCGGCTTTCTTATTCTTTTCTAGCATTGAAAGTCTCACCATGGCTGAGTTGGAATTTTGGATAGGAGAGAGAGCAGACATGCCAGATGAGGCGCTTGCTCTGTCTGGCTCAGCTGACAGTGGAAGAAAGGTTTACCTTAGGGAGGGAGATAGAAGAAGAGGATGGAGGGGAAGACGCCTTGGAAGAGGAGGTTTAACGTATTCCCCTGACTTAAAGGCTGATGATTAAACCAAACATAATTCAGATTTATTATTTAAACCGTTTTGCAATCATGAAACTTAAATTATAATTTTGGGTAATACAAGATAGCTACTTTATTAATAAAATAAATCATCCAGCCGGCATTTACTTCTCACATCAACGAATTTCCTCAAAAAAAATTGATGATGCAAAAAAATAGTTTTGTACACCACCTGTCAAGTATAGATAATAAATGCAATGAAATCAACGAGAAAATTAAAGAAGACACAATTTATAGTGGTTCGGTCAATTCGACCTACGTCCACTCTTCAATGGCTTCAGTCGCCGGGTATTTTATTGATTCAAAGGTATGGAGAACGGAGATACAAGCTTTGAGAGGGGGAATGGAGAATCAGAGAAAAACAATAATCTCCGGTAGTCGGTTCGTCTTCTGAAAGTCTCTGATGGAGCATGTGTCCCTTTCTCTCTCAGATTAGAGTCATTTTATAGTAGATAAGAGATCATTCTTGTGGAGATCATAACATATCCTCAAGGCTTCTTTATCGCAGCTTAGAGATTATCTTCGGTGCAGATCACGACTTATCCTCAACGGAAGGAAGAGTTTGGGGAACTCTTGAAGGAAACGTGGTCAAAGATTGGACCGTTGATAAGCTTCTCGTGCTCTCTTCTTGGTGACGTGCTAAGCAAGAAGTCCAACCGTGTTGTCCTCTTGGTGACGTGCTAAGCAAGAAGTCCAACCGGCCTTGGGCTCCCTAAGGCGGTGTAGATAAACTTCCCGTGTTCTTCTCTTGGTGACGTGCTAAGCAAGAAGTCCAACCGTGCTCTCCTCTTGGTGACGTGCTAAGCAAGAAGTCCAACCGGCCTTGGGCTCCCTAAGGCGGTGTAGATAAACTTCCCGTGCTCTCCTCTTGGTGACGTGCTAAGCAAGAAGTCCAACCGTGATCTTCTCTTGGTGACGTGCTAAGCAAGAAGTCCAACCGTCCTTGGGCTCCCTAAGGCTTGGTGGGTTCACGATGAGGTTGGGCTCCTCAACCGGGGTTGGGCTTTAATACATAAATTGGACTACTTGGGCTTAACCCATCATTTGCCCCCCAATGCCCCATGTCCAAGGAGACTTGGAGAAGGAGGCATTGATTTCTTTTTTTTTTTTTTTTTTTTTTTTTTTTTTAAATTCAAATCTTTCCTATTTTATTTTGAAGAGGGAGTGGTGGAGGTTGAAGAAAGGGAGACGGCTGGGCGCGCGATTGGGCAGCGCGCGCGCAGCAGGGCAGCGTAGGCGCGCTGGGCGCGCGGCTGCGCAGTGCGCGCTGCGCGCGCAGCTGGGCAGCGCAGGCGTGCTGGGCGCGCTGGGCGCGCGTAGCTGGGCAGCGCAGGCGCGCGTGGCGCGCGGCTGGGCAGTGCGCGAGCGCGCTGGGGGCTTAGGCGCTGGGCGGCTTCCTAGGCTCTGCTCCTCGCATCCTGGACAGCCCAGGCGCGCTGGGCGCTGGCCTTGCTGTCCTGGACAGCCCAGGTGCGCTGGGTGGCTTTGGAACGCTGGGCAGCAGCATTTTTTTCGGGCGGCTTCCTAGGCTCTGCTCCTCGCATCCTGGACAGCCCAGGCGCGCTGGGCGCTGGCCTTGCTGTCCTGGACAGCCCAGGTGCGTTGGGTGGCTTTGGAACGCTGGGCAGCAGCATTTTTTTCATCAAGGGGCGCTGAAAATCAGTCCGAGGTTCGTTAGGGAGAGCTAGGCAGTGGCCTGGGAGCACGGGCTGATCCGATTCTCACTCGAGGTGCTGATTTGGGCCCCTTAGGTGCTGATTTTTGCGCCGAAAATTCTGATTTGCGCAATTTTGAAGGGTCAGACACCCTTCAAGCTACTGGGCAACTTTGTTTTGACGAGCAACAGCAGTCAAGCACACTTCTAGGCATTGGGCTAGACATTGCAAGTAGTAAGGAAGCTTTGGGTGCTGCTCTTGATGATCAAGCCCTTCTCTAGGTGCTGGGCGCCTTGGGTGACCCTGGGGCTACCTCGGGAGAGCCTGCTTGTGATGACAAAAATAATGTTATTCCAAATATTAAAATATCTCACATAATTATCTAGAGAGAGAGAGAAGTAGGCTGCTTGCGCCAGAGCAAAGACAAAGTTGGAGAACTGCTCGTGAGAGAGCTACACTTTTTGAGACCTAGCTTTTGGTGACCCATGAGGGAGTCTTTAAGCTTGAGGTATAAGCTTTCTGTTTGAGAACAGTGCAGAGGCCAAGCTTTTTTGGTGACCCGTAAGAGAGCCGCTAAGCTGGAGATAGGCTGCCTGTTTGAGAACAGTGCAGAGGCCAAGTTTTATTTTGTTTATTTTGTTTTTTTGTTTTTTTTTTTGGCGATCCGTGAGAGAACCGCTAAACTGGAGATAGGCTGCCTGTTTGAAAACAGTGCAGAGGCCAAGTTTTTTGGCGATCCGTGAGAGAACCGCTAAACTGGAGATAGGCTGCCTGTTTGAGAACAGTACAGAGGCCAAGTTTTTTGGCGACCCGTGAGAGAACCGCTAAACTGGAGATAGGCTGCCTGTTTGAGAACAGTGCAGAGGCCAAGTTTTTTGGCGACCCGTGAGAGAGCCGCTAAATTGGAGATAGGCTGCCTGTTTGAGAACAGTGCAGAGGCAGGTCAAGTTTCTGGTGATCTGTGAGATGATTCACCTTGCCTAAACTTGTTGATTTCCTCAGCATTCATATATCTTTGAGCTTTTGTGAATAGTTCTGGCATGCTCTTCGGTGGGCGCTTCAGAACTGAGAAAAGGAAACTTGATGAACGGAGGCCACCCAAGAAGGCGGTCATCGTCACCTTGTCGTCGGGTTCATCAACTTGGAGTACCTCCTCGTTAAAACGAGTGAGGTAACTCCTCAGGCTCTCCTCGCGGTCCTGCTTTATACTAAGCAGGTGCGTAACTGGCTTCTGGTGGCGACGCCCTCCTATGAAGTGTGAGACGAATGATCTGCTAAGCTCGGCAAAAGAGGTAATAGAGGCGGGGGAGAGCTTAGCAAACCACTGTCGGGCAGACCCCTTTAATGTGGTTGGGAATGCCCTGCACATGATTTCGTCTGGTACGTTGTGCAATTGCATCAAGGTCTTGTAAGTGTCGAGGTGGTCCAGTGGATCCTTTGTTCCATCAAAGGTCTCCACAGATGGCATTTTGAACTTCTGAGGGAGGGGGTAGTTTGCTACATCAGGTTTGAAAGGGGTATCAGTACGCCTTACCAGGTGGTCAACAGTCTCGGGTCCCTGTGCCTTCATGGCGTTGAAGACATCACCGAGTTGATTCTGTACCTCCTTTATCTTCTCGTCCCAATGATTGGGGGCTCCTCTGGAATGATCATGGAAGTGGCTTCCATGCCCCATGCTTTGGTTTTCACCCTCATCCTCCTGGAGATAAGGGTCCTCTCCCTGGAAAGCAAGGGGAGGGGGAGGTGCAGCTCCCTCATGTTGGGCTTCCTGAAGTGGGGTGCCCAATAGGGCACCCGGGCGTGGAGCAACAGGTCGTGGTGCTCCTTGATGTCCAGGATGTGGAGCTCCTTGGGTGCTCTATGTTGTGCACCTCTGTGGGGTCCTCCATGTTGTGCACCTCCGTGTGGTGCTCCACCTTGGAGTCCTCCATGTTGCGCACCTCCGTGGGGCCCTCCATGTTGTGCACCTCCATGTGGTGCTCCACGTTGTGCACCTCTGTGTGGTGCTCCACGTTGTGCACCTCCGTGTGGTGCTCCACCTTGGGTCCTCCATGTTGCGCACCTCCGTGGGGCCCTCCATGTTGTGCACCTCCATGTGGTGCTCCACGTTGTGCACCTCTGTGTGGTGCTCCACGTTGTGCACCTCCGTGTGGTGCTCCACCTTGGGGTCCTCCATGTTGTGCACCTCCGTGTGGTTCTCCTCCTTGTCCAGCAAGTATGAGTTGCAGTAACTGTTGGTTTTGAGCAACCAGTTGCTGCATGGTCTCCAATATTTGTTGGAGATTCGGGGCTAAAGTATCCGGAACAGGGTTGATTGGCGGGGGAGCAACCTCCTCCTCTCGTGGAGGATTGTCTTCGTGTTGGTTCATGGATCGAGTTGTGATCGCCATTAGTGAATGGACGTAATGTTCAGGAGTGAGAATTTTGTCGTTTCCCACAGACGGCGCCAAACTGATGATGCACAAAAATAGTTTTGTACACCACCTGTCAAGTATAGATAATAAATGCAATGAAATCAACGAGAAAATTAAAGAAGACACAATTTATAGTGGTTCGGTCAATTCGACCTACGTCCACTCTTCAATGGCTTCAGTCGCGGGTATTTTATTGATTCAAAGGTATGGAGAACGGAGATACAAGCTTTGAGAGGGGGAATGGAGAATCAGAGAAAAACAATAATCTCCGGTAGTCGGTTCGTCTTCTGAAGTCTCTGATGGAGCATGTGTCCCTTTCTCTCTCAGATTAGAGTCATTTTATAGTAGATAAGAGATCATTCTTGTGGAGATCATAACATATCCTCAAGGCTTCTTTATCGCAGCGTAGAGATTATCTTCGGTGGAGATCACGACTTATCCTCAACGGAAGGAAGAGTTTGGGGAACTCTTGAAGGAAACGTGGTCAAAGATTGGACCGTTGATAAGCTTCTCGTGCTCTCTTCTTGGTGACGTGCTAAGCAAGAAGTCCAACCGTGCTGTCCTCTTGGTGACGTGCTAAGCAAGAAGTCCAACCGGTCTTGGGCTCCTAAGGCGGTGTAGATAAACTTCCCGTGTTCTCCTCTTGGTGACGTGCTAAGCAAGAAGTCCAACCGTGCTCTCCTCTTGGTGACGTGCTAAGCAAGAAGTCCAACCGGCCTTGGGCTCCCTAAGGCGGTGTAGATAAACTTCCCGTGCTCTCCTCTTGGTGACGTGCTAAGCAAGAAGTCCAACCGTGCTCTCCTCTTGGTGACGTGCTAAGCAAGAAGTCCAACCGTCCTTGGGCTCCCTAAGGCTTGGTGGGTTCACGATGAGGTTGGGCTCCTCAACCGGGGTTGGGCTTTAATACATAAATTGGAC